CCAATCAAAATCAAGAATCTATTCGTAGATCATTCTAGAATGCGATTTCCTAATTTGGTATATTCCCAGACTGTACTGGGTAGAGTTGCTGGTGAAACTGGTAACTATCTAAATCTGATTGGCTGTTGAATGCAATGGCCAATCAGATTTTAGATACACCAGCACAATTTAGTTTCACCAGCAGCTCTACTGGGTACCAAACCGTACGTATATAATCGCCCAATCAAAATTAAGTATTTTATCATGTGGTTGAGTGGCATGCCTGGCACGAGCTTTGGCAAATGGAATGGAATGCCATCTGGCACGCAAGATTTTTTAGCATCCTAGTTACACCTGATCCTTGAAATCTAATTTGTGGATCAGATCAGCATTTTTGCTAGTGTTGCTGATGTTTAATGTGTTATTAAGGAAAAACAACTTTAATGAATTAAAATTATCCCCTTCCTACATATTTCCAATCTTTATTATATTCAGTCCACAAAGTTTTAAACAAACTTTTCCCAGCATAATCTAAAGTAACCATAATCATATCTCTTTCATGTTTATCACACAAATCCAAAAGGGCATAAACACCTGGTCTTAAACTCTCTTTAATTGCTAGTTCTAAAAATCCTTCTGTTTGTACTTTTAAATACTCTACTATCAAACATGGCACGTGTTTAATAAACGGTCGCGTTGAAATTGCTTTTTTCTTATGAGATTTGTTTAATGAATCTTTTTGTGATATCATTGTCAATAATCTTGTAAATGAATTTGCACTTGATATTGGTAATGGATTCTTTAAACGTATGTCCCATATTGTTACATATCGACGACTCTGTGATTCACTTTTTTGTTTTATACTCTCAAAAGATTTGAAACAATGAAACATCGATTGCACGATAACGATATAGGCTGGAAGTGTTGAGTAAAGGATTTCTCGGCAATGTATCAAGATTTTGAATAATAAGTGACATACTTCTTCAAAGAGATTTTGATAACCTTTTTCGTCTGATTCAAAGTTTGTCTTTGAAGATGTTAATGAAATTACAGTTGACAGTATTAAACCAATATCAATTGACCGAAACGAAAACACCTGCATTTATGGTATATAATTGTCAATTATGTTACAAAATCATATAATACTATTCATTACATTAAATTATATAATAAATTACCCTGCGAGAAACTAAGAATGACAAAATGTTTAAAATGTATATTGCATTTTGTGGTTGGTCAATAATCTCTCCTAAATTGCATAATCTAACTAATATATTGGGAAGTTTTCTTTGTAAGCAACATAGCTGCTCTATTTTGATAATTAAAATGATATCAGTTAAAAATTAAATAGATAAACACGATATAACATTTATTCCAACTCACCATGTGTGGAGCTACGGAGAAATATATCAACTAAATGTATGAGAAACTTCAAATTTTTATCTGTACTACTTTTTTGCATGGAGAAAGGAAATTCTTCTAATCTATTAATAATAATACTTGAAAATTCTTCATATTTTTCAATTGATAACTTTGATATAAACATGCCAAAACCATTATCCAATTCGTTCGAAAATTGGTCTTGAATTCCTATTATAATATAATAACGTTAATTTGCATTACAAGCAATTATCATCAGTGCTTTAAGATTCTTATTTGATATTCGTATTATTACCTTTATCACATAAAATAGCCATTATGTCCCATATAAATGATATAAATTTATGAAATGTTTGCAAACTTATTTTAGATTCGATAATTGGAATAAAATCCATTACGATTAACGTGATTGTCTCGCATTTTTTCATCGTTTCTTGGTCATAAAGTAATTTGTCTTGGCACACGGTGTCGATTGATGCTGCACGTAATAATGCAATTATAATGGAAAAAAACTTTTGTAACAATGAAATCATAATAGGTGCTGTATAAATTATGTAAACGATGATGATAATTAGTTAATTTATAATTAATTTATGGAAAAAATATATCATATTAATATAGTATTACACAAACCTTGAGCATTAACATTTTGTTGTTGAATAGAGTTCAAATTATAATATTTTAACGACATCAAATATGCTTTTAGCACTTCTTCTAAATAAGTG